GCAGAGACAGCGAGGCTGGCCCGGGGGGGAGGAGGGGAGAGAATCGGCCAGCACAGAGCAGGACAGGTGAGCAGGACAGTTCAGGGCGCATGCAGATCCTGAATAAAAATGTAAAAGCAGTGCCTTTTAAATATCCCCACTGCTGACAGTGAGGTTTAAAGGCACTGCAATGTGTCAGAATGGAGAGAACCTGGTGCATTCACCATCCGGAATGAGAATATGGATAAAAAATTCCAAAGATGGTGTCAGCTTTCTGAAAATAAATTAGCCCCTTTTCAATATATGTTGTGGTGGTGCAGGGTTTTATTGGATTACAGTCCATTTTTCCAGTCCATATTCCCTTAACTTGCTGGTAAGAATATTGTGAGTGGCCATATCAAAAGCTTTGCTAAAGCTGACTCTAGGAGCTTTGGGAGGACCAAAAACACCATATTTGCAATTTGCTTAATGAATATGCAAATGAATGTTACCGATCCTCCGAAAGCTCATGAATGGATTTACTGGTCCCCGTGTCAAAAGTTTGGGAACCCCTGTTATAGACTAAAAAGTGGGTAAAGACCCACTGACGAAAGCTTATGCTCCACGAAATAATGTCAGACCGTACTTTAGCCACGAAAGCTTATGCTCCAATAAATCTGTTAGTCTATAAGGTGCCACGGGACTTCTTGCTGGTCTCATAAAAGTAGTATATACTACGAGTAATGTATAAAAAGCTCCCAGACACTCCACTTGGACATTTACAAAACTCTAAATGTTACAATAAACCCTGAAAAATTAATAATAAATCCAATAGACCAGAAACCCTGATCAAGATGCAACTTTTGCAATTTTTTTCCTTGTCTCCAAGTCTGAATTAATGTGTCCTCTGTTTTGAGACAAGGTGGGTGACAACGACTTTTATTGGTCTTGATTCTTTTAGTGAAAAAGACAAGCTTTTGAGCTACAGAGCTTTTAGTCAGGTCTGGGAAATGTTGCTGTGATACTCAGTACATGTTAGGTGGAGCAGATTGTTAACTACCTATGCTAAACACTGCATAGAAAAAAAATAAAGAACATTGTAGTGTATGCTGCAATCACAGGTTTCTTGTACACATTGCTTTTTAAGCAGATATTTCCAGATACTGGAAAACATGTAGAGCCACTTTAGAGGCTACAATTCAGTTGAGCCTTTCAGGAAATTCAGTAGGAACTATAATGTTGCACGTAACTTTGTGCACTGATCAGGGCTCATCTTTTTTTCTTGTTAACAGCTAGGGTTGCCAGATGGTCTCCCAAAAAATACCAGACACGCAGTATTTTTTGGTCGGGGGTGGGGGAGAGGGGGAAGGAATACAAGATAAGCCACTCCCTCCCCCGTCCTCCCCTCCCCCCTCCCGGATAAACATGAATTGTCTCTCCTCAGCCCCATGAGATAAGTGGCGGTTTCTCCATTTAACAGATGGGGAAGTAGAGGGAACAAAAAAGGTCTGGATTGTGGTCTATGGATGTAGCCCTCCACTGAAGCAGCATGCATGCACATTGTCCTTGTGTTCCAGGGGCAATTTGGCAATCAGCACCTTATAGCTCCTCATGGCCTCGCCTTCCAGCCGCTCCCCCCACCCTTGCCAGGTTTCCGTCCTGTGTGCAGCCAGAAAAATCAGACATGTGTGTTTTTTTTTTTTTTTTTTTTTTTTTTTTTTTTTTTACTGGACAAAGAGCGCAAATATCAGACTGGTAGAATACCGGACACCTGGCAACGCTATTAACTGTTGATTTTGGTTTTTTAGATGATATTGCTTCCAGTAAGTTTGGTTTTCCTGTAAAATGTGGAAATTCTTATGCATTGGGGAACCATAAATACTGCTAGCTTGGAACTAACAAGTGCAGTACAATAAGTGTCAAGTAATTTTTATTTTTGTTCAGTACATGGGATGAATAGATTAGGAAAAGTATCAGTTAAATGTGGAACCTATAAGCAGAAGTGAAGATTTCCATTTGATGATTATCCTGCTGTGATGCAGGAAACTTTGTTCAGTTTTATCTTTTTTTATCCAGATTTTAATGAGCTGATTTTTCACCAAGACCTGCAAAAATAGGCATGTAGTTGTGTAATTAGTTTGTATATGCTAGTTGCATGTTGAAGTAGTAACCTGATATATAAATCTCTGTGCATATTATCTGGTTTTCACATACTATTGTGATCCCTGCATGTGCACATTTCACAACTCTTTAAATAGGGATCTTATTATAACAATAAAATAGTACTAATTATTGTCTGTCTGTTCCAGTACAGCAAGTGCAAAGAACTCTTTGGAGACCGTACTTATTTGTTACTGTTTTACTGTTTGTTCTTTTAGAAAGTTACATTTTTAGTCCTAGTATTTGATGAAATTGGCCTTGTATCATATAACATTAAGGCATTAACCATTGTTTTCTGATTGTCTGAACTATAGTTGACCACAGCCGAATTAAGCTAAACAAAGGTGACAATGACTATATCAATGCCAGCTTGATAAAAATGGAAGAGGCCCAAAGAAGCTACATCCTTACCCAGGTAACTACTGGAAAAAATGGCAAAATTGTTCATTAATAGAATCATTTTACCCTTTCTCAAACCAGTAACTCCAAGAGCTTTTTGTTAAACATGACTTTGTAAATATTGTATTGTCACGTGCTGCATATCAGCATTGGTTTTAGTAGCTCATTCTGATCTTGTATTTTTATCTGCTAATGTTTAATGCCCATTCACACCAGGAGAGTAGGGTGTTCTGAAATGTTAACACTCTTTTGAACACAAGAAGTTAAATTCTGGCTCCAGTGACGTCAATAGGAATATCCCTGTTGACTAGTGGTGGGCAACCTGTGGCTCTCGGGCCACGTATGGCCCAGCAGGGTTCTGTGTGGCCCACAAAACATTTTGGTTACGTCTATACTGCAGGCTTCTTGCGCAAGAACTGTTCTTGCGCAAAAGCTTGCGGAGCGTCTACACTGCACACGCGTTCTTGCACAAGTAAATTTACAGTAAAGCGTTGGGACAGAGGGCTTCTTTCGCAAGAGTTATTCTTTTCCCCATGAGCTCTTGCGCAAGATGGCAGTGTGGATGGGCAACTGTGGTTTCTTGTTTCTTGCGCAAGAGAGCATCCACACTGCCATGGACGCTCTTGTGCAAAAGCACATGGCAGTGTGGACGTGCTCTTTTGCAAGACCTTTTGCGCAAAACAGTTCTTGCGCAAGAAGCCTGCAGTGTAGATGTAACGCCAGCTGACCATTGCCAGATTCCTCTTGTTTCAGGCAGAGGTTCTTTTCATACCAGTATTACTAAAGGGACACATAGGTAAAGCAAGGGCTTGTGAAGTGATGTGCATGCTGATTGCACACAACATTGACTGTAAAAAGCCATGAACTCTCTCTCTGCTATGGTTCACTTGGCACACCTCACAAATTCTATATATGCAAATGCAGTTAACACAACTACCCTAGCCCAGGTGGATTATCTTGGTTACAACAATCTTGCAGCCCATTGAATCATAGACTACTAGGAGTGAAAGGGACCACAAGAGGTCGAGTACAGTCCCTTGCCCTCATGGCAGAACCAAGTACTGTCTAGACCATCCCTGATAGACATTTATCTAAGCTACTCTTAAATATCTCCACAGATGGGGATTCCACAACCTCCCTGGGCAATTTATTCCAGTATTTGACTACCCTGACAGTTAGGAACTTTTTCCTAATGTCCAGCCTAAACCTCCCTCGCTGCAGTTTAAGCCCATTGCTTCTTGTTCTATCCTCAGAGGCCAAGATGAACAAGTTTTCTCCCTCCTCCTCATGACACCCTTGTAGATACCTGAAAACGGCTATCATGTCCCCCTTTGAGATGGAGGGCCTTTCATGTGGCCCACTCACTAGCCTAGGTTGCCCAACACTGCTGTTGACTTTAATGGGACTAGGATTTGCCTTGACTGGTTTTCCTAGAAATGGCTTCAGTACAGTTTCCAGATCTGCCTTTGGATTAAATCTTTTGTTAGCTAATAGTGCGTCTGTCTTGCCACTTAAGCTTATAACATCTGAAGGATGCAATTTTTGAAGTCTGTTGGACTCTTTATCCATCTAGAAGTAAATCCTTATTATCTAGATCTCTTAAGGGACATGTAAAACACAAGTGTAACTAGAGTTGAGCAGGAAATGAAACTTCTCGCGTCCAAACATCACACAGTGACATGTCCATGTTTCTAATAAATCAGACAGTAGGCATACAAAATATAACCTCGCAAATTAAAACCATAATTAAAGGAATACAACATTAACTTGAGTTCAGAAAGTCCTCACAACTTAAGACCCCAATCGCCATTATTAGACCTCAAGCTAATCTCTGTTTTCATGCATATATTTGAGGCAGCCAGATGCAATAAACGAAAAATCAAATTCTCTGGCCAGTCTTTCTAAATCTTTCAATAAAGAGTTTTACGTTGAGGTGATATGTCAGTTTGTCATGCCTATGGATGACTTCTTGTGCTCCTTTACCTAACAGCATTACAAGGAATGTTAACTACAGATGCCACCTTAAGAATAGTAACAGTTAATAGTCTGGTTTTGCAATATTTATAGTTGATATCACAGCCTTCATGTGCCGGGTAACCTTTTTGAATTCATTTTTAGATGCATGTTTCACTGCTCTGGAAATAGAAAGTTAAAAATACAGTGTAGGG